CCCTCAACACCAATGCCAGCCTGTGAAAGCCTACCCCTTTCATCAATGTTACCTGGATGTAAGACATGAAGTCAAAGGAGATCATTTTGGAACTTTAAGATTTAATAACTACCCTATAAGATTTCAGACTCGCCTAGAGCCTGGAGCCCCTTTGTTTTGGCAAATTTCTCCCATTTGGAACAGGTGTATTTACTCAATGCCTGTACCCAAGTATAGCTAAGAAATAACTAACTTTGCCAGGAGTAGTGGCTCTCGCCTATCATTCCAGCACTTTGGGAGGCTGAGGTGGGCAGATCACGAGGTCAAGAGATCAAGACCATCCTGGCCAACATGGTGAAATCCCATCTCTACTAAAAGTACAAAAATTAGCTGGCTATGGTGGCACATGCCTGTAGTCCCAGCTACTTGGGAGGCTGAAGTAGGAGAATTGCTTGAACCCCAGAAGTGGAGGTTGCAGTGAGCTGAGATCACACCACTTTATGCCAGCTTGATGACAGAGTGAGACTCCATCTCAAAAGAAAAACAAGTAACTAATTTGCTTTTGATTTTACAGGCTCATAGGCAGAAGGGACTTGCCTTGTCTCAGAGGAAACTTTGAAATTGAACTTTTGGGTTAATGTTAGAATGAGTTAAGACTTTGGGAGACTGTTGAGAAGGCATTATTGTGTTTTCAAATGTGAGGACATGAGATTTGGGAGGGTCCAGGGGTGGAATAATATGGTTTGGCTGTGTCCTCACCCAAATCTCATCTTGAATTGTAGTTCCCATAATCCCCAAGTGTTGTGGGAGGGACCTGGTGGGAGGTATTTGAATCATGGGGTTGGCTACCTCCATACTGTTTTCATGATAGTGAGTTCTTGCGAGATCTGGTGGTTTTATAGGAGCTTTTCCCTGCTTTGTTCTGCACTTCTCTTTGCTGTCACCATGTGAAAAAGGACATGTTTGCTTCTCCCTCCACTATGATGTAAGTTCCCTGAGGCCTCCCCAGCTGTGCTGAACTGTGAGTCAATTAAACCTCTTTCCTTTATAAATTACCCAGTCTCAGGTATGTCTTTCTTAGCAGTATGGGAATGGACTAATACAACATGTGACTCAGCAGATTCAGGAGTGAGGGTTAAAATTTCAACAATTTGGGCATGGTATGGGCACCAATCCATGAGAATGGCCCCCACTCTGCAGTGCTGGAAGCCCCTGCTCTGGAGGCATTACCCTTTTGTTTCTGAATCTTGGAGAAATATGGATTCCTGGGGGAGAAATTGAGGCTATAGGGAGGCACTTGGCCACTTGCATTAGCAGCTATTTTCCTCCATACAGCCCTTGGGAGATGGTCTCTTACAGCTAAGACATTTTGGAGTCTACTTGGAAGTGAGTGAGCTGAGTGGAAGGAGACAGAGATGATGGTAAGGTTTTGAATTTAGACAATTGAGGGAATTCTGACACCATTAGAAGGCAAGAGGGACACAAAAAGAGGTAAAAGATCTTGGGGAAATCATTGATCTTCTCTCTCTGTTTAATGAGGCCTCACTCATTAGAGCAAGGAATCCACCTCCCTGAGACAGCACTCCCTCTTCAGGAAATGACTTCTGCTCCGGGAAAGGGGGTGTGTTTTTAGAAATTCATTTATTTTATATGAAAAAAAGCTCAGCATCACTAATCATTAGAGAAATGTAAATCAAAACCACAATGAGATACCATTTCATGCCAGTTAGAATGGCAATCATTAAAAAGTCAGGAAACAACAGATGCTGGTGTGGCTGTGGAGAAATAGGAACACTTTAACACTTTTGGTGGGAGTGTAAATTAGTTCAACCATTGTGGAAGACAGTGTGGTGATTCCTCAAAGATCTAGAGGCAGAAATACCATTTGACCCAGCAATCCCATTAGTGGGTATATGCCTGAAGGAATATAAATTACTCTATTATAAAGACACATGCACTCATATGTTCATTGCAGCACTGTTCACAATAGCAAAGACATGGAATCAACCCAAATGCCTATGAATGATAAATTGGTTAAAGAAAATGTGGCACATATACACCATGGAATACTATGCAACCTTAAAAAGGAATGAGATCATGTCCTTTGCAGGGACATGGATGGAGTTGGAAGCCGTTATCCTCAGCAAACTAATGCAGGAACAGAAAACCAAACACCACATGTTCTCACTTATAAGTGGGAGCTGAATGATGAGAACACATGGGCACATTATGGGGAACAACACACACTGGGGCCTGTTGCGGGGATTTGGGGAGGGAGAGCATCAGGAAGAATAGCCAATGAATTTTGGGCTTAATACCTAGGTGATGGGATGATATATGCAGCAAACCACCATGGCACACATTTACCTATGTAACAAACCTACACATCCCGCACATGTACCCTGGAACTTAAAAGTTGAAGAAAAAGAAGAAATTCATTTGTTTTAATGTTGAGCATGATTTAGTCCATATTCAAGGGACAGGAGTCCTGCTTTTATGTCATTTTCTTGACAAGATGTTAGCTTATCTCTTTTGTATGACTCATTACTTATCAATGTTGAGCCCAATGAAAAGGAATGGTCCCTGCTTGTTGTGTTACAACATAGTCCTGCATAGATTTGCCTTCCCTCTAGTGGAAGGGACTGATGAATCGGCTTACTTTATCCACATCTTCTCCAAGTCACTAAGTTTTCATTTTTTTAAACTCTTATTACTTTGTGGAGATACAAATCATGACACTTTCCTTTAACTTCCTCATTTGTGAAATGAGGGGGTATGTCTGGGCATTCTCTGCAGTGTCTTCTAACTCCAATAATTCATGCTTTTAAGAGAATATTAAATTCTCTGTATTACAGTCTGCATTAATAAAGCTTTCTTTTCTGACATGGTAGGCAGCATGCTTACAGAGAGAATACAGGCTTTCTAATAGGAAAATGTCACCTGACTTTGGGCAGAGCTCTGAGCAATTAACCTTGACCAACCTGAAATGTCAATTTGGCCTTTTATGGCCTGAATATCTGAAAGATTTTTGTCTACTTATCTTCCCACCCAATCCAGGAAAACTAGAGATACAGGGTCTACTTCAGACACAATTATGAGTGATCTCCTTTATCTATTTAAAAAGTTGACTCTTTACAATTTAATCATGGGCTAGATAGGCCACACTTTCAAGAGGGTGGGATACATGGCAGAAGTGGTAAGATATCTGGGAAGCAGAGGGCCTTCTCCCAAGATGATTTCATGGTCGTGACTGCACACACAGGGGTTCCTTTGACCTGGCTGTCAATATGCCTCTCAAGGAGTTTTGTGACTGTATCTAATAGACATCACTGGTATTACCTCTTCTCACCTGGAGCACAAGGAGCTTGGACAGCTCTAATTTGCATCCACTGTAGCTGTGTCATTTCTTTGTTGTCAGTTTCTCTTGTTCACAACTTTTCGATTGTGGTATTGCTCATGCTACCTTATGTTTACTGCTGAGTATTTTAAATATTCCCAGAGACTTGATCACTGGCTTAGTCATTGGGCAGACTTCAAATAAGTCGAATTGGTAACAAAGAGAGAAAGAATTTGCTTCCTGATAATTAATCCTGCAGGAATGGATAAGTGAACTAAATGCCAACCCTCCTCACTGTCTCTGGAAAGCTAACCTTAGAATCAATTACTCTTCCTTCACAATAAGCAGTATCCAAGATGGAAAGAAAGAAAAGTAGGCTTCAGGTAGGCAGTAGGCTAAACACCTGGAACTTTCAGCTAGAATTCCTCACTTTGATTTATAATTTGTATGAGCTTTCCTGCTCTCTGAGGCCTATGATTAGCCCAGGAAACAGACACTTTCAAACTTTAGTGTTCAAGTCCTAAAGAGAACAATTTAGAATAACTGTCAATATTATAAAAGCATATTCTCTTTGTTTCTGCAATTCTACATTTAAGAATTTTCCCTACAGCAACACTTGCTCATGCATGAAATTATGTATGTTATTCATTGCAACATGGTTGATAATAGCCAAATACTGGAAACAACCTGAATGTTCATCAGCGGGAGAATCGATAAATAGATTAGGGCCTACTGTGCAGGTGCAAGAAAGAATGAGGAAGTGCTTTATACAGTAGTCCCCCCTTATCTGTGGAGGATCTGTTCCAAGACTCCCAGTGGGTGCCTGAAACCGCAAATAGTACGAAGCCCTATAGATAGTATCTTTGTTTCATAAACATATATATAGATGATCATGTTTAATTTATAAATCAGGCAAGGTAGCAAAATAACAACAAAAACTAACAAGAAAATCAAACAATTATAATAATGTACTGTAATAAAAGTTATGTGAATGTGGTCTCTTTCTCTCAAATTATCTTTTGTACTGTACTTACCTATGGGTAGCTGACATGGCGGAAAGTGAAATAATGGGATTTTAAATTCCTGTCCCCTGTGGATAAGGGGAGACTACTGCTTACTGATATGGAAGATCTCTAAGATATGGTATTTAGTGAAGTAAACAAGGGGCAAAACAATGTCTATGTCACCATTTCTGTAAAATGGTGGTGGCTTCAGGAAAGCACAGATTTGTATTTATTTGCATATGTGTAAAAAATGGCCGGTAGCATATACAAGTAAGAAACTAATAACAACATAACAATGGTCACTCCTTGGAAGGGTTTGGTAATGGGTACAAAAACTGTACAAAGGGGACTATGGTAGCTGAATAACTTTTCACTGGATTCCTTTCTAGGCTTTTGGTTTTGAACCATGAGGATGGCTTACATATTCAAAAGCTAAATACGTATTTTAAAAATTTAATGAAACAAAACTCTAGTTCTGAGAAATCACGTGGTGGGTGTCTTTTAAAATGCAGACTTTTAGGCCACACGCCCAGCCTAAACACTGACGTTGTTCCAAGTCAGTAGAGGATTGGGAAATCTGCATTTTCCAACAAGCAGCCTGGGTGCTTCTAATGTAGATGGTCCAGGGAACCAAGGAACTATGGGGCACATAACTGTGGGGCACTTAGCCACAGACTGCATTCATGCAACAGCTATTTTTTATTGAGCATTGGATACATGTTTCTGTCCATTTCACAAATTACACTTTATTATATTAAAGAATAAACTGCATTTCTTCTACAACTTGAACATTCAGCTTATAGATACGGGATTTGATTTAATGTCATACAGACCACTTACAATGTAATAGAAGCATTGGAAGCATTTCTTGAAAAATAACAGTTTTACTCAAAGCACACTTTATAGATAGAGTTTTACATGGTTACACAGTTAAGTTTGCACATTTAAGGGGATCTGAACCATTCATATTAATATTGTGAATTTCTTATAAATAATTCATTGAACACAAGGAGTCCAGGCAAAGCCAAGCCATCACCATTACTTACACTAAGTACCACACCCGGAACTTGTTCTGAGTTATTTAACACAGAGTACATTTTTCAATGCAATAAATATTTACAGTTAATAGTAGCAAGTACAACTATAATTTATGAAATATGAGTCTAATATTTAAAACAAAACATAAAATGACATTAAAGAAGTTCGTGCCATTTATTTTTACAACTCACCGAATTGACTGTTTGACGAATTTTATTACCCCGAACCCTGCTGACTTGAATGCAAAAAAGGTCATGTTCGAATCACTAAAGTCCAAATTGCAGAAAAAAAGAAGACTTTTTAGAAGTTAACCAGTGTTACTTCCTTAATGTTGTACATGTATTATTAATGTCATTAGCTAAAATGGAAGCAAAGTGATGAAAATCTGGATTCACAACAGGTTCAAATTATATAACGTACCTTCAACATTGAATTTCTGAGTTATACCAACATTTTAAAGCTTGTCTCGGAGTTAATGAGGCCTTGAATGTATGAGGTTTTACTGACCATTTAAATGATTCTTTTAAAAGATCATACAATTATGTGAGTCCTTTCATTTCATTATATGACTCTGTGAGTGAATTTTCAATTTGGGGGAAAAGGAAAATAATCTTATCTTCTAGAAATGTGAGTTCAGAGAATGCAGAGAGACAGTGTGTCTGTGTTTAGAACAGGGGACCTAGAGCTAGGCACTCAGATACAAGTCCATATCTGAGTTTTTTATCTGGCCCCTTAGTCCAGGAGATATTTTTCTATTAGAGGCTATTTATGTGGCTTAGGGCCCCAGACTAGGAAATCAACCATTGTCATATCTTCCTCTATTTTGGGGAATATGGGGGCTTAAGTGGTTCTATCTCTACCTGACACTTTTTTCCAACTAATTCTGATTCAAAGAAAGATGGCTAGATTCGCTGATCTCATTTTGGATCTTCTAAGTTGGTCCTTGGCAAGATTTTTCTCTCCTCAGACACAGGTGGGAAATTCTTCCCAGCGCTTCCAGTTACAGCTGAATTGTGTCTCTGAGTAGGGGAGAAGGTTGCAAACAACTGACCTAAGGGATTTTCCTAGTCACCCACTTAGTGCTGCATTTCAGCTTCTGCCCTTAGCAATTCCTTAAACTACGTGCCTCAATGCTCTTTGCATACATTTTTTGACTCTATCACTACTTCAGGCCTCTGGACAAAATCTAGAGAGTGGAGTTTTCTACTAAGTACTGTGAACTTAATTTTTCACACAGGTTGGATTTTGGAAGCAATGCTAAGCAGTGGAATGGACACAGACATGGGGAGATGAGGTCCACACTTAAACTCTGCCACTCAACTTCCCCATGTGACTTGAGGATCAGTAAGTAAGCTCCCTGCCACACCTTCATGTGCCCAGCACTGGACTTTGCATATTGTCAGTGTTTGGTGAAGTTGAGCCCCTTCTTTTCCAGCACTTCCAGAGCCATAGCACTCCATTCAGGTTTTGGTTAAATTTGATGTATTTCATGGCCAATGTTTTTGCTACCAAGGATCCTACCCTCCTTTGTCTTAGCCTTCCATTTCATTCTGACATTTAATGTTGTGCCCACCAATATGTCTCTCCTGGGCAGCCAACAATGACCCTGTCCACTCCCTTGTGCCAAGTTAAACAGATTCACTTTGGGGAAAAGAGACTATCCTGTAAACTAGAGAAGTGATGATGAGCACTGTTCTTCAGTATCACCGAATAGCCCATGAGAATGAAGTACTGTTAGTTCACCTCGAAACAATATGAAATCAAATTAAGCTGAACCAGATGAAATTGCCTTTTTGTAGTTCACGAATGGTCCAGTCTCAACGGTTTCATGTTTCAGCTTCATAGTTCCATGGGCCTTTTAATGTAATGGTAGATGGTTACATTTCTATAGTAAAGGATGTAAAGCGGCTCTTTGGCCAGCAGGGAAGGCTTGGATGAAATAAGGTAATAAATATAAAAGTACTTTATAGACCATGAACACTATGTAAATGCAAAATTTTTAAAAAATTAGTCATGGACGTGATTCCACAGTAATATTCTGACCCAGGGGTTCTTAAATTTAACACATGTACAACATTGAAGCTTTTAACAATTAGATAAATTCTGCCGAATGAATTTCTAATGTGAAGTCTCATAAGAGAAAAGTCTGTTCTCAGTGTGTTATTTGTTGATTGCTCTGAATATATTCAGCTGGACTTAATGCTTGGTCCCCTGCAACCTAACAAAGGGTGCCTCTGAAGGCCAAAGTTACAGTAAGAGATTATGAGACATTGAAATTGTTGTGTGTTTGTGTTTGGGGAGTGTATGTTTGGGTGTGGGCTGGGAGAAATGACAGTCCAGATACAGAACAAAGTAGAGCTTGTTAAGCCTTGGTTTCATCCAACAGTGTGCACAAAGCCTAGTCCCATGAAAGTAAAAGAATCCTTTTGTTTTCAGCTGTTAATCCATTTCATGAAAATGCAGCCAAAAATTAGACAAATGCACAAAATGTGCTTCATTTCCCCAGAAACCCAGGGATAATCCTAAGCTACTCTCTAACAACAGCTACCTTCTGTTGTGGATGTGAAGAGCACAAATGGCAAGAAAGTTTGCAGCTTCGCATCTCACCATGATACAAGTGGATGGCTATTCATTCAACTCCCATACAGTCAGCTTCCCAGGGTGATGGTTTCTAGCTGGCTTCCAGGAAAAGTGACTTAGCCACCTTTTCGTCCACAGATGATGTCATTCATTGTGTACTCCCCAAACAAAGTTAATCTCTATTACCAGAAGCTATTTGATGCATGAAAACACTCTGAAACCAGTAACCAACTGCTACTTTTGACATAAATGAAGACTTTACAATGCAAGAATGCTCATGTGCTATCGTCAAGTTCATTTACTTCTGTTCAGTGCATTTTCATAACGAGATGAGCCTGGTTCATCTGCAGCAGCCCCTAAACAGTTTACTTACCTAAGGGTTCTCCATCCTCCCAGATGAAACCAAATTGTTTGTGGACAAAGAGGGAAATCCAGAGCTTGTTAATGAGGCAGAAGGTAGGTTCAGTGCGAATGAAGGCAGTCAGAAGAACAGGGTTTAGCCATCCACATTTATGGAGAAACATCAAATCAACAACGGGGAGGGGCCCTGTCTGCACTAAGCAGGGAGGATCATCTTGCTAAAGAATATCACTCCCAATTGCAGCTGCACCTTCCCTGCCAGCAGCAGCCGTTGGTGGGAAGACTGCTTTGTTTATTGCTTAATCTATCACTGTTGAGCTGCCTGCCTCAGGGAGGCTCAATTTAAGATAGATTGAAAGGTAGTGTCTGTCAATTGAATAAACACAGATGGTTTTCCACAGCAAAAATTGATTTTTTTTTTCCTTGCCAAAGACATAAGTGCTAAACGTGATTATCTTTGGAAGCCAGGCGTGAAATGTCTCAGCTCCAGCCCCTACCATACTCTGCTTTGGCAGAGAAGTGATATATGTGGGGACTTGGGTCTCTCTCACATAGTTTTAGGTTCTTGAGGTGAAATAAAATAATAAAATTTTGACTTCCCCAGAGAAGGGCCCAGCTATGTCCTTCCTGGTAAGAAGCTCTAAGTCAAATCCATTAGTTGATTCACGAAATAGTTTTACCAGTCCTTGGTCACTAGCTGGCAAAGGCCTCCTTCAGTCCTTTCATTCAAGAGTCTCAAAGAAGTAATAAGATTCGCCTAAGGACACACAGCTACACCTAGACCTCCATTTCTTCACTCTTTATCCAGGAGCTCTATGCCATGATGTTAACTGAAGAAGACATGAAGATGAGCTCTACTTCCAAAATGTCTCTGGAGGTAGGTAGATCACAGATGCTTGAACAAGTTATGCTAGGTATTCAGAAGGCTATACATGTTGGCAACTAACTAAGCATAGATTCATTTATATTCAAGCATTTTGAAGAAAGCCAAGGGCAAAATCGTGGACCACTAGTGCAAGATAACAGGTGCATGGAGGTTGAAGAAGGGTGAATAGGAAGAGTGTCCTTTGTATAATAATAAGATTCAGCAATGTTTTCTTATGTCTCTTCCAGCTCTAACTCATCATTCATGCAAAGTATTCCAAGGAGCCCCTGGAAGCAATAGAATAGTCTGACTCCTTTCATACCACTAATGTGAACACGAGCATATAATAGTGGTTGAAGGATCTCCAAAGAGTTGTTGCAAGGGTAGCAGAAGTGGGGCTACTGTGACCAAATGGGCTACAGAAATGCTGCAGAGACAGGACTGGAGACAATGAAGAGACTCAGAATTTTAGTGAGAGACAAGACCTTAGCACTGTCTTCTCAGTCTAGAGATGAAAACATGAGTCTAGAGAAGTGAAATTGACAGCCAGAGTGACATAGCTAGAGGCAGAGTTGGACTCTGAAGCTAGAAATCTTGGTTCTTTAAGTGATACTATCCGTCTTGCTTTTCAAACTGTTCAATGTAATTATGGACTAACAGGAAAGCAGGTGTGTACAGTACAGAAGAGCACGTAGCAAGCAGAATTGAAGAAATTTCACTGTTTTGGTCCTAACTCCTAAAGCTCCATAGACAGTGGGTACTTCTTCGTATCAAGAGACAAGAATCTTTTCATATGTGCCTTGTAAAAATGAGAGCCAACTGTTTGTATCTCATCTGGATAAAGAAAACCTGAACTAAAATTGTCAGAATTTTAATGTGTAAGGGCACATTTGCAAAATTTGAATTCATTTGAAAGTGGGTTAATATGTTTGCAACCTGTCAAAATTTCCCTGCCTCTGAGTGAAGAAAAACTCGATTCAGGGTTTCTAAAGTAAGGTAATCAAATCTTTTTAGAGCCAATTAAACTCAGAAAAAGAAAAATATTTCAGCCAAGTCTTTTTCTGTGCATGGGCTCTTTCATAAATATTCTTGTTAAGTAGAAACAAGTCTGTAGCTGTTTTTTAATCAGTTCCTAAAGTTAAGACCCCTGTGACTTTCTTATGCATATTCAGACAAAAATACATGTTACCGAAATTTTATTCACTTCCTCCCACAAACGTTAGGAGAAGCATACATTAAATATAAACATGTCCCTATTTCTACTCAGATACAATCACTTCTTTCTTATAGTGAAACTACTTATTCAGTGTAGCAGTCAGACAAATCTAAGTAAATACACTTGCTCAAAACCTATGTATCAAGAATAAATACTGTACTTTATCCATTTATAGATATTTGATGAATTAATAGCATGATCAATTTTTTCCTAAATGGATTTCTCTTCTATGGTGGAACAGCATTCTGGATGATGAAAACTGTGTAGCAGCAAACAAAACCTCCATGAAGTAAGAATTCAGTGTGTGAGATATCACTGTGCAGCCACACATGAATCTTTATATATGTGCCAATGAGTTTGGTTGTATTTTTGCTTTAAAGGTATGTATAGAGCATTTCTCCTAGGTCCTCAGTAACGTATTTTTTTTAAATGAATGTTTAGAGAATTGTTTTATATTAAACTAGCTTCCATTGTTATCAACTTGGAGAGTGTCCCTCATACCTGGAGGTCATTCACAGGATTGACTTTTCATATTAGGAGTATAAATAAAAGTTGTTCCTTGGTTCGTATTTTACAGATATTCCTAAAAAAAAAGTCAAGTCATATTTCTAAAGCACTAGCATCTGCTTGAAGAAATGACAAGGTGAAGTCTTTCACAAAATAAGCATTCAATATATGATTTCTCTGCTATATAAATCTCGTTGTTCATACAGTTTCTATGACAAAATTGGCCACAACCGTTTAACAGGGCTTGATGCTTAAAAAATAATTTTCTACTTGTTCACTTTTCTGAAAAGGGAAGGTTTGCTTCACATCACAAGAAACATTCTCAAGTTGAAATGAAAAACCTGACTCGATGGCTTCTTTGAAAATATAACAGTGATCCACCATTTTGGCCCCCACCCCCGCCCCCACCTACACCACTCACAAGCATTCTGAAGGGTCTTTGGAGGCAAAAACACAACAATAGATGCAGGAGTTCCTATCTAGCCATAAAGCAAAACCAAGAGTCCCTCAAGGGGCAAAGTCAAGGGGCAATCTAGACATACCGCTCATTACAGATGTTTCCATTGATGAGGCTAAAGGTGGCCACAGAGGGGTTGGTACTCTTCAGGGAGGTCATGCAGGTGGTACTCCTTCCAGTGCTGTGAGACCGGATGATCAGGCCAGGCCGGCAACAGAGGAGCTGAGTGTTGAACTGTTTCCTGAAACTCTTGCTCAGCAGGTAGAGGGCAAAGGGGTTCACGCAGGAGTTGGTGAAGGCCAGGAGGCGGGCACAGATGCTGGTGACAAAGTGGAGCATGGAGGTGTCCACTTCAGAGTAGTGGTAGGAGCGGTACAGGTAGATGACGTGATTGGGGAGCCAGCAGAAGGCGAACAGAGCCACAAACACCAGCACTGTCTTGGCAAGTCGCTTCCGGGATTCGATCTAAGGAGAGAGTCACATGGAGAGAGATAGAGGAACCAAGGGATGGTGTCAGAAGAATGCAGAGAGACAAAGATTCAGTCAGAGAAAGAGACAGGGAAAAACAATTAGGGCAATAGATGATTTCACAAAGCCACAGAAAAGGAGTTCACAAAAAAGGAGAAGGTAAGATAGAATCCAATAAAATGAGAGAAAGGCAACAGAAGCAGAAAAGGAAGAAAAAGGGTCAGAAACACACAAATAGATCAGCCAGGAAGCAGACACCCACAAGGAAGAATAGAGTTAGAACACACCACTGAGAACAGATCTTTAAACAAAGTCGATGACATGTTTGGATGGATTGCAAAATGCAGTTCTAGTAAGTGCCCCCTTTTTCCTCAGGAGAGCATTGGTGCAGTCTATCAGCCACACGACTTCATGTCTTTCTTTGCTCCACAGCTAATAATTTCTTATTCTCTCTGATGCTCAAAAAGACCAGCCAGCTTTGTTCTTCTTCACTGGCTAAATGAAGATAACTCTCTAGTATTATTATTTTAAAATCTTGAGTTATTTCTGGACTATAGTAGGAAGGGACTGCGACAAAGAGGGATGAGCATCTCCTTTTGCTTCTCCATCTACTACCTCAAGGGGAAACATGTTTCTCCCTAAAGAGTTTGGGGTATAATGGATGTTGGTTAATGAGAGGTTTTTCAAGTAGGAAGGTAGTTTCACTGGGAACTGCCACTCTTCCCCCACAATTGAGACAAATAAACAATAAACTTGAAAGGGTAAGGTCTCCAAGTGAGTCAACAATTCACTGAAATGGGTTGGGGAGTGTTTCTGCTTTTCCATCATAGATGCTACATGATCTACATCTAGGCTAGAAGGCAAGAACTGAGGAAGAGGAGGAAGCCAGAGCTCTTGTTTTCTATTTGTTTGGACCTCAAGGATGAAATTATGGGGTGTTATGGGAGACAAGAGAGGGCGTCTAATCATATGGAGGGCATTTTGCATGCTGGGCACTGTGGGCCTTACATATACTCTCTCTTGTAATCTTCCAATGGCTTTACAATGTAGGGATTATTAGCCTATCTGATAGGTAAGAAAACTTAGGCTCAGAGAGGCTGAGTACATTATGAAGCTTGGATTTGAGCCCAAATCAGTGTGAGCCTATCCTACTCAAACTACTTCTTTTTCTTCAACTGGCCTCATTTTCCAGCCTCCTCTGCTTTTTTCCCATGTGGTAACCCTCTTTCTAGGCAAACGATGTGACTGAAGTTTTAAAAAGTCACATCTTCATAAGCCTCAAAGCTTTATTTATTTAATTTATATACTTATTTTTAAAATACAACTCTTTTTCAGATTATTCCTCAAAAAGAAACCCACACTTGAAATATTTCAGGTTCACAACACCTCCCTAGCTTAGGTCTTTAATAGGAGAATAAGATTATAAAAAACACCTTGAGTTTCCATGGCTAGGTATTTCCATTTCGCATCTGGCCACAGATCACCCACCTCATCTAACTGCAGAATCAAGTGTCCTGGCTTTTCAGTGGGGTCCAAAAGAAATGCAAGGGATTATATCCCCAAGGAGGAAATGAAGCAATCTTAAGCACCCACCTGCTTCTTGACATGTATATTCCCTTCCACGGGAAGATTGTAAGCACTCTGGATCAGATTTTTAGCAATGAAGTAGTAGTAAACAGAGATGATTGACAGTGGGATGATGTAGAAGACCAGAAAGGAAGCCATGGAGTGGATTTTGGGGTGCAGCTCATTAGAGTGTGGGTACGGGGCACAACTAATGAAGGTCTGGTTGGTGCTTTCCTCGTGGAAGGGATGGAGGTCAGAAAACACAGCCTCTGGAATGGCCAGCAGCATGGAGATGATCCAGATAAAGGCGGCTTTGAGGCAGATCTTCATCAGGGCATGAGAGACCTGGATATCCATTGGCCGGACAATGGCTTTGTATCTAGGGCAGGAAAGAAGGATCCCCATCAGTCGCATAATATTATTCCGAATAACAGGGTCAGGACTAAGTTGAGGCAGGCGAGACACCTAGAGTACAATATTTAAGGAGGTGCTAACTTTCAAGTCCATGAGGGTGCCAGCTTTGAGCTCTATGACCCTGAGAGTGAGTGCCTCCTTAAATTTTGTACTACAAATACCCCAATTGCCTCACTCTAACCTAGCCCTGAAGGATGCCTTCTCCTTTCTCCAGAAGAACCATTCCACTCACATTCTCTTTTTTTCTTAGTTTAAAGCTAATTTTTAAAATAATTTAACATAAAAATGGTATATATTTTAACATGGTATATATTTTGAAAACATGGTATATATTTTTTTAAATGGTATATATTTTAAAACATGATGTTTTAAAACATGTATCCATTGTGGAATAACTAGATTGAGCTAATTCACATCTACATTACCTCACATACTTATCTTTTTAAAATGAGAACACTTAAAATTGACTCTTAGCAATTTTTGAGTGTGCGATACATGATTATTCACTATAGTCACCATGTTGTACAATTCACACTCTCTTGATTTTAAGAATACCTCTTAGGAAAGCTCTGAAGTTCCTTTTGTTTTTCTTCTGAAATCACAGAAATTAGTAACAAAGCATGTTGCTGCTTAAAGAACAGAGAGACAAGGAGGTTGACTTTTTTTTTTTTTTTTGCAAAACCTTCATTTTGAGTATTCAGATCCACTTCAGGGAACCTTAAGTCACTGAGTATTTTAAATATGCCTCTTTTCTTTCTTTCTTTTTTTTGACAGAGTTTGTTGCCCAGCTCTTGTTGCCCAGGCTGGAGTGCAATGGCGCAATCTCGACTCACCGCAACCTCCGCCTCCTGGGTTCAAGCAATTCTCCTGTCTCAGCCTCCCAAGCAGCTGGGATTACAGGTATGTGCCACCATGCCCTGTTAATTTTTTGGTATTTTTAGTAGAGATAGGTCAGGCTGGTCTCGAAGTCCCGACCTCAGGTGATCCACCCGCCTCGGCCTCCCAAAGTGCTGAAATTACAGGCGTGAGCTACTGCACCCAGCCACCTCTTTTCTTTTTCAAAGGATGTGTAATAAATGATACCCTGAAAAAGTCATACCCGGAAGAATCCCTGTAATTTTCAAATTGATTTTTCCTGTGCCTTCCTAATCTCAGCCTTATCTTCTCTTGAAGTATTTAGGTTCTTCCTGGTTTGTGAGCTATTTGTGCCCATGTCCTGGGTTGAGTGCTCTGGGAAACAGACACTGAGATGAAGTAAGAAGTATAAGTTTTATTGAGGAGCAATACCTGTGAAAGGAAAAAGGGGAGGAAGTAGGATAGAAAGAGGGAGCTGTCAGTCCTTAAGGTAGACCTGACAAGAGCTACGCCAATGAGAGTAACTAAACATCTTGGTTGGCCTGGAAATTTTCCAGTTTTAGCATGGTAAGTCCTACATCCTGGGAAATATCTCAGTCCAAGCAGACTGGGACAGCTGCTCATTCTGCACCAACCCAACAGGAAGCTTAGGAGCAAAGATTACCCAGTGGGGAAATCCTGCTTTGGGTGGAAATTTCCAGGCCCATGTATAATCACCTTGCTTAGTAATTGCATGGGGTCACCCTAAGAAGAATGTGATCTCAGTTACTACCTGGCTCAGTCACTGGGCAGGAACCACCCAAGAAAACATGATCACAGCTTGAAAGCTGAAGTGGACCCTGAAAGAGCTCGTAGTTGGAGGTTTCAGTTAACCACACCTCCTGCAGCTGGGGCAAGTCTCTTATTCAAGGGAGGTCTGGGCAGCACATCTCTGTGTCTGCACACTCCCCATACAGTTTCTAGCACAGTGGGCCACAAGATAAGGGCAAAGAACCCACTAGAGGATGAGCCTTTGGTGGGCAAAGAGTATGTCTTTTTCCATCTTGGAATCTGCCAGCACTGTGATTTGCACATACTCCACAAAAGTTCGTTCAATTGAACATAAGCTACTATAGTGTGGAAGTTGATATGAGTTGAGACCAACTACATGTGAAGGTCTTTATTGCTGGCGATACTGTGTTTAAACTGGGTTCTACCTATGATACTCTTTTATATCACAGATTTCAGGGAAGAGGAGTACTTATTTCTACTTGTTTTCATGTTGATTAGACCTCCATTGGTTTATCAATCTTGGCTGCACCCTGACTCCTCCCTCACTTTCCTCCTCCTACCAGGGAAGGGGGAATGAATTCTTCAGTGGCAAGTTTGGGAAAAAGAACCTGGCTTGTACATTGGGCTGAGGGAGGCCTATGGTTATTTAACTGACCCTGTCTAGAAGAATGGGAAGTCTAATATAGAAGATAAGAGAGTGTCTGCAAGTCCATTATTGCTATAGACTTGAGTTACATTCCCGAAACAGCTTTAGCAGACGTAGATGTAGCTATTTTTATATTTATGTCTCTCTGATTTCTTTTTCTATCTCTCTGTTCTCAAATTAGGTAGGGAAGAGAAAGCTATTATTTATCAGACACCCTCAAGCCTCAACATTCCACAACAACACTACAGTCCTGCTTCAATGGATCTGTGTTTGCTTTAATTTTAAACAAATACAAATAAAAATTTAAAAGAAAGTTCTATTTTCCTCTAGTATCTTCTTTATTCATTAGCCATTTAAAACATTTTCCTAGCATGGAATGTAGGCAAGTAATTGGTATCTTTAATTAAACTTATGTGAACATCTTCAGCCAAAGATGCATATGACTAGAGATATCTCTAATAAATTTTTTAGAGATAAAATGATAACTATGACTTCTATCTGCATTTTCTGGCAGATAGCAGTCATAATTACTACTAACTCTCTGAGTAAAGGTGATTAACTCAGTCATAAACCAGAGTAAATGGCTTACTTCCTTCTCTGTTAGGAATCTTGTCTTTCCAGCTGCAAAATACCATAAGAACTATTGAGTTGCTCTTTTAATTTCACAACTTAAAAAATATATAGTATAAAACATTTATAGTTTTACTAGAAAAATAATTTGAATCTAAATCTAATTAAGCCCCTAGATTTATGTGCCAGTCTTCGGGAAAATGGTGATAGAATAACCTGCTAAATGATGCTATGAGGATACAGTCAGTCAAATTCTGAATTAAAAAATTCTACAGGAATGATTACCTCATTTTTTTCAACAAATATATGGCATAGAAAAGGAGGGAGAATGTTACAGACTGAAATGTATAAGACATATCAACCAAATGCAATATGTAGACTCCTTTTGGATTTTGAATCAAACCAACCAATGATAAAAAGATATTTGTGAAACAAATATTGAAGAAGATCAAATATAAATGTACTATTGGTGATATCAAGGAATTATTTTTAATGTATTGAGTGTGATAATGGTATTGTGGCTGTTTCTTAAAAGACTTTGTTTATAAAAGACACATGCTAAATTATTTACCAGTGAAATAATATAATGTCTAGTATTTGCTTTAAAGTATTGACATATTCATATGAGCTGTGCAATTAAAAGTAAGTTGCAATGCATTGCAAACAATCTTCCGTTATGGTATGTTCATAACACATCAAATAAATGAAAGAAATCCCATTTACTAAGCTCTTGCCTTTTTCCAAGCAGGGAATAGAATCTATATTATCTCATTAATATTCCAGACAACTCCAGTAGGTAGACATTATTATCTCCATTCTGCAGATGGGAAATTGAAGCTCAGTTTAAGAGGTGGTAGAGTCCACATTCAATTTAGAACCAATGTTTTTCAGAACACCATAGTTCCTTCAGAAGAGAGCTTTAGGTAAATTCTTGCTAGAGGCAGAGACATAGACCAGATGTTTCTCAAATGTATATACAACATACAAAATGTTCCCTGCAAGCCTAATGGTTCTGAGTATCATGGAGCATATCAGTCTATTTCCTCTTCTGGCCTAGATTGCTCTGCCCAGAGCTCCCAATGCAGGGAGACACCACTGGGTAGTTCCTGTTTAGGAGTGATGGCTGGTTGGGCTGGAGTGGATACCAGATCTAAACCAGCCAATGAACTGCCTGGCTAACTACTAAAGAGTTTCTCTTTCTCTTAAGCATTTCACCAGAAAAAGAGAGAGAATATAGTTAGTAATAGACAGACGCTGGAAATACAAGATTTTGATGTCAAGGAAAAGATCAGGGCAGCCATATTTAAACATGTAGTAAATGGACTAAGAGAAAAAGAATGAGGCAGAAATAAGAGGAGAAGTTGAGACAATGTGGCTCTCAGTCATACAGAGGGTATGGTTTCTGGCTTATGTACTAATTTTGAATGTACAAGAGATCTCCTTTTACAATTTTACAATACTACCATCTCCTTTTTACTTGAGTTAGTTTGAGTGGCTTCTGTTCTTTGCCAACAAAAGAACCTCATCTAAAACAATTAGATGTGGTAACCCTTTAACGTTATCACCAGATTTATTTCCAAGATCATTTTGCGTAGATCATCCCCCAGTTGCTACCCTCTGAAAGAATGAGCTGTCAATTTTCCATTGTACTCAAGAGATAGGCTAGTTTATGCTGCATTCCTAAATTTTCCATTACTTTTCTGTTTCCCCCCTTTCATCATGCCCAATCCGATTCTTGATTCATCTAAATCAAATCCTTCCAAATTTCAGTTTAAGTATCATCTTGATGAAGCTTTTGCTGAACAATCCAGGCCTTAATGGTTCCCATTCTTTCTCCCAACCTGTGTGACTTTTATGACAAGATTATCAACTCCTCTCGTTTTCTACTTATTATACACTATCTTGAATTATTTGCTAGTTTTCTATGAGTATGTCTTTTCTTTCTTTTTTTAATTTTTGTAGGTACATGGTAGGTATAAATATTTATAGGGTACATGAGATGTTTTGGTACAAGCATGCAATGCATAATAATCACATCATGTAGAATGGGTTATCCATCCCTTCAAGCATTTATCCTTAGTGTTAAAAGCAATCCAATTATACTCTTTTAGTTATCTTAAAAT